ATTACACCCCACTTTGGCTATGGGGGTGTGTCAGATTATGTTATTTGTCTAGCCTGCAGTGGGGTGCTCAATAGTGAGTACAACCCCTTAGGGTTTCCTATATGTATCCTGCTGCTTGCTAGTTCAACACATCATTCTCCATTCTCTCTTCTCCAATTCTCCTTCGCATACCCAAAACCCTAGTCCTAGGGCACAACCTACTACCTCCTAGTGTGGGCCTAGGCTACTAAGCCTAGGCCCCACTCCTATTGTTTCTAACACTCCTGTCTACGGTCCCACGTTTCCTCCTCCTGACCCCACCACGGCTGTCTTCCCCCGTTCTCAGCCTCCGTTCCCCCCTCCTCTTTCTCACAGTTAGACTCCTCGCTCTCCTCGTGCTTGTCACTCGTCCCCTGTTCCCGTCACTGACCTTCGTACTGTCCTGTTTCGTCCTAGCTCCCCTCGTCCATCTCTACCTGTGCTTCCTTCTCCTCCTGAGTCGGCCCTCACTACTTCCCTCTCTACTCCTCTCACTAACTACTACCGCACGTACCGTCCTGTTCTCTCTCGTGTTCTCGCCTCTCTTGTTACCGACCCTCGTGCCTCACAGTCCTCTGTCTCCGCCCTTACTGCCGCTGTCACTAAGTTTGCCACTACTCACCGCCTTGACTACGCCACTCGTCTTGTCGCTGCTCCTCCTACCCGTCCATTGGCCGTCAGGGGTGAGTCTTCCCTTGGCTGTGACGCCCTAGAGGACAGACTGTTTGAGTTGGAGTTCCTTGCAGCCGCTTCCCCTCATCACTGTACCATGCTGCTCGCCCCTGAGGGAGACCCCGACGCCCTTGACATACCGACTCCTCGCACTTACGCTGAGGCAGTGTCAGGGCCTTGGGCCTCTCAGTGGAGAGCTGCCATGGACGCAGAGATGGCCTCCTACAGATCCACAGGCACTTACGTTGACGAGGTTCCCTCTTCGAGGGCGAACGTAGTCGATGGCATGTGGATCTTCAAGGTGAAGCGGCCACCGGGATCTCCTCCGGTCTTCAAGGCGCGCTATGTGGCTAGAGGTTTCAGTCAACGCGAGGGAGTTGACTTTTTTTCAAACCTTCGCGCCTACCCCGAAGATGACCACTGTTTGGGTTTTTCGTCACGTAGCAGCACAGAGAGACTACGAGTTACACTCTCTCGACTTCTCCACTGTTTAACCAATTTGACCTCGGTTTCCACATGGCTTCTGTCGACCCATCGTTGTTCGTTCGTCGTGGCTCCACACCGTTCTTTGTACTGGTCTACGTCGACGACCTGGTCTTCACCACTGCTAACAGGGTTGCTCTGGGTGACGTGAAGTCCAAACTGCAGAAGAGACACACGTGCACTGACCTTGGTGAGCTGCGCCACTACCTTGGCCTGCAGATCACCCGGGACAGAGCTGCTTGCAATATTACACTCTCACAGTCACACATGGTGCAGCAGGTCCTTCAGCAGTTCGGGCTTCAGCACTCCACCGTACAGCGCACACCTCTTGCCGTTGACCACAGACTCACTGGACCCTTTCCTGATGAGCCGTTTGAGCCTAGTGGTCGTTACACAGAACTTGTGGGCTGCCTCATGTACCTGATGACTTGTACCCGCCCGAACCTCGCCTTCCCTCTCAGCATCCTTGCCCGCTTTGTTGCACCAGGGAGACACCGTCCTGTTCACTGGATAGCTGCTGTGAGGGTGGCGAAGTACCTAGCGACGACATCAGGCGTGGGGCTGGTACTTAGAGGGAGACAGCCTGTCGTACTTACTTGTCACTGTGACTCTTCTTCCACTGACGACGCTGAGACTCACAGGTCTACTCAGGGGTACTGTTTCAGCCTGGGCTCTGGAGCTGTTTCGTGGAGGTCCATGCGTTCCTCCTCCGTCTCGACCTCTGCCGTTGAGGCTGAGATCTACGCTGGAGCCATGGCTGCACAGGAGCTGCGTTGGTTGACCTTTTTGCTCACTGACCTTGGTGAGCGGCCGACCTTGTTTACTGACAACAAGGTGACAATTTTCCTCCGTCAAGAGCCTCGACTGGAGAGCAGAGTGAAGCACATCAACGTCAGGTACTTTCTTCTACGAGAGTTGCAGAGGCATGGACAGACTCGTTTGGACTTCGTGGAGTCCAAGGCCAACACTGCAGACATCTTCACCAAGGCCCTTCCGCCTTGTGACCACCACAGGTGTTGTTTGCAGTTAGGTCTCGTTGACACAAGTTCTCGTCTTGTGTAGACTTGTGTTCTCTGCTTGCTTTGTTTGTACGCTTTGCATATACCTCTGTGAACTCTTGGACTGGCCTTGTGGCTCTTTTGCTTGTGCTCGGACTGTGTGGTGACGTTGTGATCCACCCTGAGCTTTGTTTCTTTGTGACTGGTCTTGTGACCGTACGGTTTTGGTTTTGCTTGACACCCCTCACTTAGGCTATGGGGGTGTGTCAAATGTTGTAGCCTTTAGTGATGCGTGTCATATGGGGTACAAAAGTTAGGGTTAGGTTTATGTACCTCAACCCACAATAGTCCATCATTATTTAGTTTCTGACATTCACAATGATGTTATTTGCGGTGAATAGAAATGGCTTAACCAATTCTTTGTTAGCATGTTTCCATTAATGTTCCCAAATATGTTGACTGTCCTCCCAACTATATCATTTGACAAGTCTTTGCAACTAGGTATGGCTAGGCCAATGCGTCTAGAAAACAGCATTTTCTTTTGAATACTGCTGAGAATGGCAACCCTCACAACAAGTTAAGTGTGGTATAGTGTTATGAAACTTGTCAAACACGTATGGAATTTATATTCATTGTGTATAGAAACGGTATACGCATATACATTCTGACTAGGGACAGTAGTGCGGTGCGCATGCTGATAGTGCACTGTTCCAATCGTAGGGTAGTTACCGATGTTTAGGAAATCCCTGAAGGAGGGTCCGACGTACTTTCGCGAATTGACAGGGGTCGCCAAGAATATAAAAGGCAACCCAAGCTTACCTAAACACTTCACTCGGAAGAAGAAGTGTGACTTTCGTTCTAGAGGACCTGTCGGTTGCCTATTGATAGTCCCCAAATCTCTGGGTGTCCGTCGCATCAAGCCCAAAAGCGTAAAGGGTACCTACGAAAAAAAAGGTAGGGGGTGTGAAATTAACGAGAACAGGGTGTATAAAATAATGAACCTCATCCCAGCTTCAAAGAGTGCCCCAGAGATCGGGCCGATAGTGCACTGTTCCAAAAAAAACGAGTAGCACTGTGAACAAATGTGATTGGCTTTCGCCAATCTTGATTCTTCTTGTTCCCGCCATTTTTTTTTTTCTATGCTGATTTCCTCCGTCGCATGTCTACGTGCTACACCCGCACGACCGTCGCCCAGCGATGGTTTCCATTGCCAGGCCAACGTTGGTTTCAAGTTGGAACTGGGTATCATGACTAGCTGCTCTCCATCCCGAAGTCAGTAGTTTTATTCCTAGCATATTTTTGCTAACAACAATAGGTGTTCATGGCCAAGGTAAGTAACTATCGACCCTACAGGAATGCGTAAGGCTGTTACGTAGCTTTGAATCGTATTTCAATTCTCTTTCGCAGGCGATCGTTACCCTTCCGCAGGTGCAAGTTTCCTGTCTCACGCCTTTGCCATCTCCCCTTCCCTCCCGTCGTTTGTCAGTTGTCCTCTCCCCTCCCATCACCTTCGGGTCTCTCTCCTCCCCCCCCGTCGCCTTCGCGCTCTCCCTCCTGTCGCCTTCGTGCTCTCCCTCCCATCGCCTTCGCGCTCTCCCTTTCGCCGCCTTCGCGCTCTCCCTCCCACCGCCTTCGCGCTCTCCCTCCCGCTGCCTTCGCGCTCTCCCTCCCGCCGCCTTCGCGCTCTCCCTCCCGTTGCCTTCGTGCTCTCCCTCCCGTCACCTTCGCGCTCTCCATCCCGTCGCCTTCGCGCTCTCCCTCCCGTCGCCCACTTAATCTCCTATCGCTCACGTCCTCCCCTCCCATCGGCATCGCGCTCACGTTCCTCCCTCTGTTAAACTGTATTATGCTTGTAGGCTGTAGTGGGGTAGCCAATATGGGGTACAACCCCAACTAGGGTTTCATATTTGTACCCAAACTTCTGCTAGTTCATCATTCTTGCCTAGTTACTTTGAAATGGTATCAGAGCAGGAGGTCCCTAGGACCTACCGACCGTTTTTTTTTTAAGGGCCCACCACCGCTCGCATGCGGTTACCACGCTACCCCGTGCCCTAGCCTCATAGCGCCCTCGTGCGCCCTCGTTAGCGCCCTCGCGCGCCCCTCGTTAGCGCCCTCGCGCGCCCCTCGTTAGCGCCCTCGCGCACCCTCGTTAGCGCCCTCGCGCGCCCCTTGCTAGCGCCCTCGCGCGCCCCTCGCTAGCGCCCTCGCGCGCCCCTCGCAGCCCGCCCGCCGCGCTGCCTGCTCGCAGCGTCGCCCGCTCGCCCCGCTGCCCGCTTCGCAGCCCGCTCGCCCCGCTGCCCGCTTCACGGCCCGCCCGCCCGCTCGCTGCTCGCTTCGCGGCCCGCCCGCTTCGCAGCCCGCTCGCCCCGCTGCCCGCTTCGCGGCCCGCCCGCCCGCTCGCTGCCCGCTTCGCTGCCCGCTCGCAGCGCCGCCCGCCCGCCCGCTACCTGCTTCGCAGCGTCGCCCGCCCGCCCGCTGCCCGCTTCGCAGCGTCGCCCGCTCGCTCGCTGCCCGCTCGCAGCGTCGCCCGCCCGCCCGCTGCCCGCTCGCAACGTCGCCCTCCCGCCTCGCTGCCCGCTTGCAGCGTCGCCCGCCCGCCCGCTGCCCGCTTCGCAGCCGCCCGCCGCGCTGCCCGCTCGCCGCGTCGCCCGCCCGTCCCGCTGCCCGCTTCGCAGCCCGCCCGCCACAATTCCCGCCTGCAGCGCCGCCCGCCTCGCCTGCTGCTCCCTGACTGTGCACCGCCGCTTGCTCCTGCTGTGGCTGCTAGCTTCGCTCTAGCGCGTCCCCTCTGCTGCTGCCGCTGCTCTGCTGTGCCCTCACGCCTGAGCTATGGCCTCTATTCGCGTTCTTTCCTTCGATGCTGAGGGTTGTCCCGTGCAGTTCACTTCCTGGCTCGATGACCTGCAGTTGTATCTTATGAGCAATAGCACGGACCACATCTCCCTCTATGACTACGCGTCTGGTGCTGCCGCTGCTCCTGCTGCCACAGCCGAGCTTAGTGTACGTTCACAGTGGCAGACTCGTGACGCTGCAGCTCGCCTGGCTATTCGCAGTCACCTGCCGTTAGCTGAGCTAGAGCACTTTGGCGACTGCAAAACCGCTAAGGCCCTATACGACGCTGTCGTTGCTCGCTACTCCTCACCTGCCACAGCCGAGCTTAGCCGTCTCATGCTGCCTTACCTGTTCCCTGACCTGTCCACCTTTGCTACAGTCGCCGATCTTATCACCCACCTTCGCACTAGTGATGCTCGCCTGCGTGCCGCCCTTCCCACCGAGTTCTGCGCTAAGAACCCCCCTCCCCTGTACTGGACACTCCACTTCATAGTCACCCGTCTCCCTGACACCCTCAGCTCAGTGCGCGACTATTTCCTTGCTCGCTGTCCCACTGAGCTCACTGTCGCCCTCCTAGAGGAGAAGCTGCTAGCAGCCGAGAAGAGCATTGTGGCTGTTGGTGCTGCTCGCGGCACTCCTCGCACCCCCATCTTTGAGGGGTGCTCTCCCTCTCCCCTCGCTCCCTCCTATGCTACTGCTGCTGCTGTTGACTTCCTTGGTGCTGAGTCTGCTGGCGCTGCTTCTGCTCCTGGTGGGAGGCGCCGCACCGGCAAGGGCAAGGGGGGCAAGGGTGGCGGGGGTGGCGCTGGGGGGGGAGGGGGTGGGGGAGGTGGGGGGGGAGGCGGTGCTGGAGGGAGCGGTGGCGGGAGTGCCGGTGGGAGTGGGGCCGGCGGCGGAGGCGGGGGCGGCGGCGGGAGCAGTGGCGGTGGTGGCGGCGGCGGCGGTGGCGGCGGTGGCGGTAGTGGCGGTGGCGGTGGCGGTGGTGGCGGTCGGAGCGGAGGTAGTGGCGGCGGTGGAGGTCGGAGTGGAGGCACCGGCTCGGGCCAGAGCTCCCAGCAGCAGCAGCGTCCCCAGTCGACCCAGCAGCTTCGTGAGTGGCTTGCTCAGCGTGGGACGTCGGGGGGCAGTGGCCGCTGTTCCTATGTCATTCGCACAGGTGATCGCAAGGGGCAGACGTGTGGAAAGTTCCACACTCAGTACCGCTGCTTCTTCCGCCTTGACGACGCTTGGCGTGAGGAGATGGGCGAGGATGTTGAGCGCCCTCGCTGGGCTGAGCTGATGAGGGCTGGTGTTGATATCTTTGCTCTTGACTATGATGCTATTATTGCTGCCATGTATGCATTGACTGTTAGTGCCGAGGGAGACTGTTACTTGTGTGTGCCGCCTGACCCAGGTATAGGGCCCGCTGCCCTAGGTACTAGTGAGTCTGCTCTCTCTGGTATGGTGCCCCCTGTACCTGCTCCCTCCAGCACTGTCCCTGCTGCTTGCGAGTCTGCTCTCTCAGGTACAGCACCCACAGAGACTGCTCTCTCAGGTACTGCACCGACTGAGACCTGTCACACCTTCACCCTTGACTCAGGTGCTTCCCGCTGCTTCTTTCGAGACAGTACTGAGCTCACACCGCTTCCTGCACCGGTCCCAGTCTCCTTGGCTGACCCCTCTGGGGGCCCAGTCCTTGCCCAGTCCACCACTGTGCTCCCTTGTCCGGCGGTTCCGTCTGGCTCGTTGACGGGTTTCCACCTCCCCTCGTTCTCGACGAACCTGGTGAGCAACGCTGTCATCCAGGATCAGTGGGTTGACACCTTTACCCCTGGAGGACAGCGTGTGGCGATCTGCACGTGCTCCAGGACCGGCCGTCACCTGGCTACGTTTACCCGTCGGCCGGGGTCGAGTCTCTACACACTGACCACTGCGTCTCCTCAGGTCGCTGCTGTCGGTCAGGTGTCCGCGTCAGGTCTGGTGGCCCACGCCTGTGAGTGTCGTTCCCTGTCGCACCAGACTCTTCTCTGGCACCACCGCCTGGGTCACCCCTCCTTGCCACGCCTTCGTGGCATGCACCGTCGCCACCTTGTGTCTGGTCTTCCCAGGTCCCTCCCTCCCCTCCCTGCCTCGCCTGCGCCGCCTTGCCTTCCTTGTGTCGAGGGGCGGCAGCGCGTCGCTCCTCACTCCTCCTCGTTCCCCCCGACAGAGGCTCCTCTGCAGACCCTCCACCTGGACGTGTGGGGCCCAGCCCGCGTTCGTGGTCAGGGCGGTGAGCGGTATTTTTTGCTGGTTGTCGACGACTACTCGCGTTACACCACGGTCTTCCCCTTGCGCACCAAGGGTGAGGTCCCTGCTGTTCTGATCCCTTGGATCCGCACAGTTCGTCTCCAGCTCCGCCGCCGTTTCCGGACGGATCTTCCTGTCCTGCGTCTGCACTCTGACAGAGGTGGTGAGTTTTCCTCCGACCTCTTGAGGACCTTCTGTCAGGCGGAGGGCATCGAGCAGACCTTCACGCTTCCGGACTCCCCACAGCAGAATGGGGTTGCTGAGCGCCGCATTGGCCTGGTCATGGAGGTCGCTCGTACCTCCTTGGTCCACGCGGCGGCTCCCCATTTTCTGTGGCCGTTTGCTGTCCGGTACGCCGCGCATCAGCTCAACCTCTGGCCCCGTGTCTCCTTGCCGGAGACCTCGCCCACACTGCGTTGGACGGGGGAGGTTGGCGATGCGTCGCGCTTCCGGGTGTGGGGTGCTCGTGCCCTTGTCCGCGATACGTCCGCGGACAAGCTCTCCTCCCGCACGCTTCCCTGTGTCTTCCTTGGCTTTGTCCCTGACGCGCCTGGCTGGCAGTTTTACCACCCCACCTCGCGCCGGGTCTTCGCCTCTCAGGATGTCACCTTTGACGAGTCGGTCCCTTTTTACCGTCTCTTCCCCTACCGCACTGCCCCCCTCCCTCCCCCACCGCTTTTCCTTGCTCCTGGCCCCCCTCCGGTAGACCCCCTTCCCCCTCAGGGTCCTGCTCCTTCAGGTGTCTCTCAGGTAGACCCTCCTCCCGTCGCTGAGCCTGTCGAGGTCACAGGTGACTCAGGTGCTGCTGCAGGTGGTACTGCTGGGAGTGCTGAGCCTGGGGGTGCTGAGCCTGCGGGTGCTGGGCCTGGGAGTGCTGGGACTGCGGGTGCTGGAGCTGAGGGTACTGTGCCTGAGAGTTTGCCGCCTGGGGGTGCTGAGCCTGGGGGTGCTGCGACTGGGGGTGCTGAGCCTGCGTGTGCGGAGTCTGGGGGTGCTGAGTCTGGGGGTGCTGAGCCTGCGGGTGCTGAGCCTGGGGGTGCTGCTGCTGAGCCTACGGAGCCTCGGGTTGCTGCGTCTGGGGGTGCTCCGGTTCGGGGTGCTGAGCAGTCTCTCACACCGCAGCAGCTTCGTGACTGGTACGTCCGGCGCTTCCGCCGTCCTCGTGGCTCGGCTGGAGTTTGGGGTGCTGGAGCTGCTCGTCCTGGGGGTACTGGAGCTGCCGGGACTGGTTGTTCTGGGAGCACTACGACTGGAGCTGCTGGAGCTGGGGACTCTGGCGCTGGCGGTGCTAGCGGAGTTGGAGCTGCCGCCTCTGGGGGTACTCTTCCTAGCGGTGCTGCGGACCCTGGGGGTGGCGCTGCTACTGGTGCTGCGGACCCACCTGGTGGAGCTGCTGCTGGAGCTGAGGACCCGAGCGGTGGCGCTGCTGCTGGTGCTGGGGACCCGGGCGTTGGAGCTCCTACTGGTACTGAGGACCCGGCCGCTGGAGTCTCTTCTGCTTCTGGAGACGCTGCGCGGCCGCGACCGTACTTCGTACCGCTCCTTCAGCAGGTTCTTGGGCAGGCTCCTCCTCCTTGTCCTCCTCCCTCCGTCGAGTGTCCTCCGCCTGTCCAGCCGCAGTCACAGTTACCGCCTACCTCGCCTCTCCCTGCTCCCTCTCCTTACACTGGTCCCACAGGAGGTCTTGCAGAGCGTCGTGAGCCTGAGTCTCGTCCTGCGTCGCCTGTCCGTACTGCTCGCACTGGTCGTCGTGTCCGTCGTGAGCGTCCTCCTCCTGTCCCAGGCACTCACTACATGACTCTGCGTCCCTCTACTGCTCCTCAGCGTGTCCCTCTGCCGTCTCCTCCTGCGTCCTCTTTGCCTGCTGTTCCGGACCCTGAGTCTGACCGGTATCGTGCTGAGCACCCTACTGTCACGCGTCTCCTAGCTACTGTTGTCACTGACCCTACCTTTGAGTCCTCGGCTGCGTCTGCTCTGGTCGCTGAGTTGGTTGACTTTGCTGCTGCCTGTCGTCTAGACTACGCTGCTCGCCTTGTTGCTGGGTCTGAGTCTGCGTCTGTCTGTCCTCCGTCCGTCGGGGGTGAGTGTGCTCTTGGCACGGACGTCCTTGAGGACAGGCAGGAGGACTTTGACTCTCTCGCGGCTGCTGTACCTCATCTCGTGGCCTCGTTGCTTGCCCCTGAGGGAGACCCGGATGCACTAGACATCCCCACTCCGCGCACTTACGCAGAGGCGATCTCGGGTCCCTACTCCTCTCAGTGACAGACAGCCATGGACGCAGAGATGGCATCCTGGAAGTCCACAGGCACCTACGTCGACGAGGTTCCCCCTCCTGGGGCGAACATCGTCGATGGCATGTGGATTTTCAGGGTGAAGCGGCCGCCAGGTTCTCCGCCTGTCTTCAAGGCTCGTTACGTTGCTAGAGGCTTCAGTCAGCGTCAGGGGGTCGACTTCTTCCAGACCTTCTCCCCCACCCCGAAGATGACCACTCTTCGGGTTCTGCTGCACGTTGCTGCTCAGCGTGACTACGAGCTTCACTCTCTTGACTTCAGCACAGCGTTCCTGCAGGGCAGCTTGCACGAGGAGATCTGGCTGCGCCGCCCACCTGGCTTTACTGGGTCGTTTCCTCCTGGTACCTAGTGGAGCCTCCGCCGGCCAGTCTACGGTCTCCGCCAGGCGCCACGCGAGTGGCACGACACACTGAGGACTACACTTGCGGCTCTTGGGTTCGCGCCGTCTACTGCTGACCCGTCGCTGTTTCTGCGCACAGACACGTCGCTGCCGCCGTTCTACATTCTCGTGTACGTCGACGACTTGGTCTTTGCTACTGCTGACACTGAGGCACTCGCTCGTGTGAAGTCGGAGCTGCAGAAGAGACACACCTGCACTGACCTGGGTGAGCTGCGTAGCTACCTTGGCTTGCAGATCACCCGGGACAGAGCTCGCCGCACCATCACCCTGACTCAGTCACACATGGTGCAGCAGGTCCTTCAGCGCTTCGGCTTCCAGTTCTCCTCACCACAGGCCACACCTCTGGCTACCAGCCACTCGCTCTCAGCTCCACCTCCGGACGAGTCCGTAGAGCCGAGTGGCCCGTACCCAGAGCTTGTGGGCTGCCTCATGTACCTGATGACTTGCACGCGACCTGACCTCGCGTACCCTCTTAGCATCCTTGCTCGTTACGTTGCGCCTGGGAGACACAGGCGAGAGCACTGGGAGGCTGCTAAGAGGGTGCTGCGCTACTTGTGCAGTACATCAGGCATGGGGCTGGTGCTTGGAGGACGCGACAGAGTTGTCCTCACTGGCCACTCGGACGCTTCTTGGGTGGACGACCTGGCTACGCAGCGGTCGTCACAGGGTTACACCTTCAGCCTTGGTTCTGGTTCTGTCTCGTGGCGGTCCACCCGCTCTTCCTCTGTTCTCGGCTCTAGTTGTGAGGCTGAGATCTACGCCACAGCCATGGCTGCACAGGAGTTACGCTGGCTCACCTACCTGCTGACTGACTTGGGAGAGCGGCCTAGTTCTCCTCCAGTTCTGTACGGTGACAACAAGGCGGCTCTTGCCTTGTGTCAGGAGCACAGACTGGAGCACAGGACGAAGCACATTGCTCTTCGCTACTTTCTTGCTCGAGAGCTTCAGCAGCGCGGTCAGCTTCGGCTTGTGTACGTGGACTCGAAGGCCAACACTGCTGATATCTTCACCAAGGCGCTCCCGCCTAGTGATCATCAGCGGCACTGTACTTCTTTAGGCCTTGTGTCCACGTTTCCTCACTTGCTCACTGCTTGACATTCTTTGTACTGTACTTTATATATATCTTGTTACTTGCTTGCTAGGTTTTGATCACTGTGTTGTTTGTCTTGTACTATATCTAGCACTGCATGTGAACTGGCCTTGTGGCCTTTACTTGTGCTCGGAGCGTGGTGACGTTGTGATCCACCCTGGGCTTTGCTTTGCTTTGCTGGACTGGTCTTGTGACCCTTTGTTCTCCCCCACTTTGCCTATGGGGGTGTGTTAAACTGTATTATGCTTGTAGGCTGTAGTGGGGTAGCCAATATGGGGTACAACCCCAACTAGGGTTTCATATTTGTACCCAAACTTCTGCTAGTTCATCATTCTTGCCTAGTTACTTTGAAACCCTCCCCTGGCCATCGCGCTCACGTTCACCCCATCGTATCGCTATCTCTCCGTGCTGCCCGCCGCCTCGCCATCCCGTCGTTCGCCTCCTCTCCCCTCGGATCCCGTCGTTTGCCTCCTCTCCCTTCGGATCTCGTCGTTCGCCTCCTCTCCCTTCGGATCCTGTCGTTCGCCTCCTCTCCCCTCGGATCTCGTCGTTCGCCTCCTCTCCCCTCGGATCCCGTCGTTCGCCTCCTCTCCCCTCGGATCCTGTCGTTCGCCTCCTCTCCCCTCGGATCCCGTCGTTCGCCTCCTCTCCCCTCGGATCCCGTCGTTCGCCTCCTCTCCCCTCGGATCCGGTCCTTTGCCTCCTCTCCCCTCGGATCTCGTCGTTCGCCTCCTCTCCCCTCGGATCCGGTCGTTCGCCTCCTCTCCCCTCCCATCCCATCGTTCCGATCTCTCTTCCCGTCGCAACCGTTCTTTCCCTTTGCATCACCTTGTCTATGGTATTTTTTCCTCTCTTTCTTCGACTCCCTATTTTTTTACCTCTATCAGCCTCAAGTCTAAGGAAACGCCATTTCCCGCAGCTCTTTCATTCGTTGGCTAACCTTCACTCTCATCTCGTGCATATGTGTATGCGCTGGACTTTACCTGTGTTTTTTTTTTTTTTTTTTTTTGAATCATTGATAGTGTATACCGATACAGGCAAGCATAAACCATCAGATGGTCGTAACCGTGCGTGAGGGACAACAGCCAATCTACTGTTCCAGGTGAACTGTCTAGGGCGAGTTGTTGCATGCCCTTCGCGTGGACCATAACGCAGCGAAGGCAGGCATCCATGTCCAGCTTCTGCCATCCAACTTGATCATGCTCAGCATTTTCTGCTCCTCCACAAAATTTCCCCGGAGCCGCTTCTTCCGTGCTGCCCCCATTTTCTGCATGCATATCTTTGAGTGTAGTCTAAAAGCAGCCTCCGCCTTCCACAGTACACGCTTGGCCTGAAAATTTTGCCCCCGAAAAACTGCATCACACCTCTCCAGCCAGACTTGGTGGAGGACCACCGACGTGAGAGTCAGCTCTGGAAAAGCTGACCTGGTGCCCGTTTTCCGGAACAGAATATCTCCTAGCGAGGCAGTTGGGCGGCTGGGGTTCAACATGCGTAAAGCGCGCCGAAGAGCCGAGGTCACTGCTTGTATTCTGAGGCACAGGATGAGGCAGTGTTCCAACGTCTCTTGTTCCCCGCAGTATGGGCATGTAGGCTTGCTGCTGAGGAAAGCCAATCTTTCTCCCACATGCAGATTCAAGCCGTGGATGTGGATGAGGACGTCCCTTGGACGGCTGGGAACAGCCAAGGACTCCCGATTCATCACCACCTGCTTCCAATCAATGTGGTTTCCCCACTGCACACCCCACTTCTGTTGCTTGTACGATTGGCTGGACGTCCCCTTCATCCGCCTCATGGAGACCACCTGCCCTCCTTCCAGGATTGGAACACGCAGGGGAGATCCAGCCGAGCGTGGAGGTGCAGTAGGGAAGCCCAGAAGTTTTTGACAGTGAGACGGGGACGCTAGTAGCGCCTTCATCGCTAGCTTGGCCGGCCCGTTACCTCCCAGCTCCTGCTTCAGAACCGCCATGGATTTTACCACCACAACCCCATCTTCCTCTCCATCCAGCAGATCACCGATACGAGTGTGTTTCAGACTCTGGGCTTCTTTCTGCCCCCCAACCGGGTTAGTGCCGTTGAGTAGAATATATTTATTGAAGAAAAGCCTTTCCCACAGAACCTCCTCTATGCTCCCCACCAGGTTCCTGATTGAGAAGGGCGACCGCATGAAGCTCACCGCCGTCTGCTTCCACCGTAAACTGCCGCTGCCCCAGTGCTTCAGACAGTTTTTTCATGCGCGGTGAAGGAGTCCTCTCCCAGCGGAAGCTGCGCCGCACGCTCCATGAGGTCCTTTTTAAGCGGGTTCTGTTCCGTGATGAACAGGCCGACTCTCCTTGATGCCAAACATGTGATAAATATTTCCGGGTCTCTAACCCCGATCCCGCCATCCAACCTCGGAGTGTAAAGCAGCTCCCTCCTCCAGAGGATAAAACCTTTTGCAGTTGCAACCCTGTTTCCAAATGTGAAGCTGTGCAGTAGTCGCATGATTTCCAGCCAGATGGCTGCCGGCGGCGGGTAAATTTGTGCTTGAAACGCCAGGATCGGCATGATATAGTAATTAACCACTGTCGCCCTTGCTGTGATTGTCAGGTATTTTAGCTGCCACTTGGTCAGCTTCTCCGATACACGACTCCACGTCTTCTCCCAGGTTGGCAGGCCGTTACCGGACGGCGTCACCCACACCCCCAGTAACCGCTCTGCTTCATCCACACCGGCCCGTTTGAAGCCACCGGCTCCACCATCTGTCGCTCCAATATTATCGCCCAGAGGTAAGACCACTGATTTCGACTTGTTCGCCGCCAAATCTGATGCCTTTTCAAAACGATCCAGTAATTCCTCCGCCTGACCAATCTGCTCCCTTCCTTGCAGGACGAGAGTCGTATCGTCCGTGTATCCGAGATACCCGAGCCGGTGCCATTCCTTCTCAAGACCGAGCCCCCGCCTCTCCACTTCCTGAGCCAACGACTCCACCGCACACAGAAACAGGTATGGCGCCAAGGGGGAACCCTGCCGGACCCCAGAGACCACGTCAACACCATCCCCGAGCCAGCCGTTGATAAGAAGCTTTGTCGTCGTTCCCTTGTGCAGGCCCTTTATCCAACCGACAAGCCGCTCTGGGAAACCCATCTTCTCCAGCACGCTGAAGAGAAACTCCCTCGAGACCGAGTCAAAAGCTTTCTGGAAATCCACCAGAAGCAAGTACCAGTCCTCCTTTCTGTTTTTTGCGCCTTCGATAATGTCTGCCACCAGCGCAACCGCATCCGACAGACGACGGCCAGGGATGAAACCATATTGCTCCGGTGAGATAACCATGTGAAGCACCGATTTCATACGATCCGCCACCACCCGAGCCAGTACTTTATAGGTGAAGTTCAGCAGAGTGATTGGACGGTAGTTGTTAAGCTGCTCCTTGTCTCCCTTTTTGTGCAGCAAAATCGTCACCACTTCCTTCAATTCGGCCGGCAGAGAAGCGCTGCTCTCGAAGCTCTTCGCCATTACCATGAAACTTTCTCCCAGCAGGTCCCAGTGTGCCTCAAACAACTCCTTCGGCAAACCGTCACTGCCAGGTGATTTATTCCTCGCCATTGCCGCAAACGCTTTCTTAACCTCTTGTTCTGTCCAATCTGCTGTTAGTGTTTCAGCTACCCTTTCATCCAGCCGGCGAGCCGGGTTGAAACTCCACTCTGCACCCTCGACACGACGATCAGCTCCGAAGATATTCTTGAAGTAACCCGACGCCGCCTCCAGGATTTCCTTAGAACCAGTGATCGGCACCGCGCCGTCCTTCAACTTCGAAATTTGAGTGCGAACCTTCCGCGCCTGCACCTTCGCCGAGAGATGCCTGTGTTGTTGATTGGTGTGAGTTTTGGTGAAGTTACGATGACTGCTTGAGTGAATACAGGCCTTGCAACCTTCCGCCAAGTTCGCACATGTACTGTATGTGTGTGAGTTGTGTGTGTGTTTCGCCGCCAATCACAATTGTGAACAGGTTCCAAATGTTGCCCGTTCACATCGAGACTCGTCTGGAGTGAAAAAAAAAAAAAAAAAAAACACGAACAGCACTTACAACTTTCCGAAACGTTAAAAAAAAAAAAAAAAAAAAACTTATTTTCAAGTGGACCCAACTAGAAGGGGGGGGGGGGTACTATTTTAGCTACTGGCTTTAAGGAAATCGGGAAGTCCTGATGAAGGCGACCTCATATCATGTCGTGTTCGCAACTCAACAAATTCGCCAACATGGTACATCATGGGTTATAAATGTCAGAATCCCAGCCACTAATCACTGGGATAAAAGGGCTTGTTTGTGTAGCGGGTGAGTGCACCCATAACCCCCCAGGCCAACGTGCATGTAACCCTTCCATAGGATCAATTGGGGATTTCCATTGGACCTCTGACACCCCCCTGCACTGGGATGCCCGAGGTGCACACACTGGGATTCGAACTCGAGACCTTCGCTCTGATACCATGTCAGAATCCCAGCCACTAACCACTGGGATAAAAGGGCTTGTTTGTGTAGGGGTGAGTGTGCCCATAACCCTCCAGGCCAACGTGCCTGTAACCCTTCCCTAGGATCAATCGGGGATCTCCAGTGGACCTCTGACAACAAAACATAAACAATTACACCATAGCAAGCTGTTAGTGTGTCAAACTATGGTTAGCTATAGATATGCTGTAGTGGGGTACGACTAAAAGGGTACACCAAACTTCTTGACACTCTTCTTGTACCCCCCTCCCCCCTCTTGTTCACTCACCATTCTCTCCTCATACTTAAGTTACTTAGGTAGGTAACATTACGAGCCTAACCTTGCTAGCCCCGCCACGTTCCCTACGCTAGTTCACCTCGCCCGGTTCCTTTCACTGGCCGTGCCCCGCCCCGTCCCACCCCTTGAAGGCGTGGCCCGCCCCGTCCCTTAGCGCTGCCCCGCACTATCCACTGACCAACGCTGCCCCGCCTTGCTACCGCACGCGTACATTGTAGGAGCTCTGCGCGTGGCAGACAGCGCGCACATGCAGAGCGCACATTGCAGCTTCAGCGCACACAGTCGCATGCGCACATGCAGCATGCACAGCAGCTATTCACAGGCAGCGCGCGCGTTAAGCAGTTGCAGGGCACACAGCGGCGCGCACGCGCACAGTCGCGCAGGAGCAGCTGCCCGCACGGCTCGCACTATTGTCTCTTGTCTCCTCGCATCTCTAGTCACGCACCCTACTGCCTTCTCGTCGTCTCTTTCGGCTCTTATTGCCTCTGTCTCTGACTTTGCCTTCATCGGCCGCCTTGACTACGCTACCCGAATGGTGGCGGCCCATCCCCGGTCTGCCGGGGGTGAGTCTGCGCTTTGCTGTGACGTTCTAGACGACAGGCAGTTTTAGGTTGGAGTTCTTGGCACCCGTTTCTCCCCTCCTCTTTGCGATACTGCTAGCCTCTGAGAGAGACCCCGACGCCCTTGACACGTCGACTTTTCACACGCACCGTGAGGCAATGTCAGAGGAGTGGGCCTCTCAGTAGATAGCAGCCATGGACTCAAAGATGGCGTCTTGGAGATCCACCATCACTTATGTCGACACAGCCCCCCCTCATAGGGCAAACGTAGTCGATGGCATGTGGATCTTCAAGGTAAAGTGGCCACCTAGATCGCCGCCTGTCGTCAAGGTGCGCTACGTGACTAGAGGCTTCAGTGAGCATGAGGGAGTAGACATCTTGCATATCTTCGCCCTGACCCCGAAGATGATTACTTCTCGTGTGCTACGTCAAGTTGCAGCATAACGAAACTACGAGCTGCACTCCCTCGACTTCTCCGCTGCCTTCTCCAGGGCGGCTGTAAGAGTACGACGGCTTATGCTGGCTTTGTTAGCTTGCGTTCACATTATTATGCTATTTCTAGCTTAGGATTATTTTATCATGCATGCTTATGCTTGATTTCCTAGGTTAGGTGCTTTCCTATATTTTATTATAGTTATAGCACCGAACCAGGTTGCGTGTACCGAATTCCAGGCCTTTCGGTTGCCACTGAATTGCCCTCTACCGAATTCGGGAAGGTTCTATTCGGGACACTTCGCGACCCTCAAAACATTCGCGTAACACCTGGGTTACTGGCCTTGTGTCGAGACTATATATAGCCTTGTGTTGTACCCCGATGAATCAATCAATTCATTTCTACTTTTCAAAACTCGATCCTCGATCCTCACACTTGGTAATCAGAGCCTGTTTACACGCGAAGTTTTTCGACCGCGGAGGCGATTATGGAAAGTGCCGATTTCGGTACGTAAACCAGTTCCGCACTATTTTTTATCCCTCGAACCGGTTTTCCAACACTCCTAAGGATTATTGGCGAAAAAAGTTGGAATTTCGACGGTCCGATCAATTTGAATCTCAACGGCCCTGAGAATTTCGCCCAAAAAAGTTGGAATTTGGAGCGTCGAATCGAGTTTCATCTCAACGGCCAAGATCGGACGCGAATTCGACTAAGGGAGAATTACGCGACGAACAGAACCAGCGCTTGTCAGTTTTACAATCGATTTGATTCATAGTAAGTCGACCAGCCCTAGAACTTAATTATTTTTGTTGCAAATCTTCCTGTCAATCGCCACATGGAAGGAAATGGTGATAACTTCGTACGAAAAATTACAGAGTTACGCACCGACACGGACCAGACGCGAGCGGCACTCCAGCAAATTGAGTCGTTACTCGCGAATGTCAAACTATATGCATGCTATATTTGTGTAGGCTGTAGTGGGGTAGCCAATATGGGGTACAACCCCTTTAGGGTTTGATACTTGTACCCAACTCTCATTCAATGCATTCATTCCTGCTTCTAGATTCTGACATGGTTTCAGAGCAGTAGGTCCGTAGGACCGTTTTTTTTTTCGGGCCCACCCTTCGCTAGTGACCGTCTGCGGTTACCGTGCTGCCCCACGCCCTGCTCTGCGTCGCGCCGCCCGCGCGCGCCCTGCCCTGCCTTGCCTTGCCGTGAGCGGCCCTAGAGCCCGTGCGCGGTCCCTGCCCTTGCCGTGCGCCGCCCCAGAGCCCGCGCACCGCCCCTGCCTGCCCGTCGCGCCGCCCCAGAGCCTGCGCGCGGCCCCTGCCCTTGCTGTGCGCTGCCCCAGAGCCCGCGCGCCCCTCCTGCCTGCCCGTCGCGCCGCCCTAGAGCCCGCGCGCTGTCCCTGCCTTCCCGTTGCGCCACCCCAGAGCCCGCGCGCCGCCCCTGCCTGCCCGTCGCGCCGCCCCAGAGCCTGCGCGCGGCCCCTGCCCTTGCCGTGCGCCGCCCCAGAGCCCGCGCACCCCTCCTGCCTGCCCGTCGCGCCGCCCCAGGGCCTGCACGCGGCCCCTGCCCTTGCCGTGCGCCGCCCCAGAGCCCGCGCGCCGCCCCTGCCTGCCCGACAGGTCACCTTCGTGGCCCCGCCCTACCGCTGTCGCGGCCTCGCCCTGCAGCAGCCGACGCGGCCCCGCCACGCCGCCGACGCGGCCCCGCCAGGTCGCTATTGCGGCCCCGCCCTGCCGCTGACACGGCCTCGCCCTGCCGCCGACGCGGCCCCGCCTGGCCCCGCCCTGCCGCCGACACGGCCCCGCCCTGCAGCAGCTGCCGTGGCCCTGCCCTGCCGCTGTCGTGGCCCCAGCCCTGCAGCTGACGCGGCCCTACTCTGCAGCCGCTTTTGCGGCCCCGCCGTCGCCGCCGTCGTGCGCCTACCCTGCCGCTGCCAGCCGAGCGCCGGCCCTGCTCGCTCGGCGAGCGCCTGCCCTTCCCGCCACTGGTGAGCACCTGCCCTACCGCGCTTCCCCCCGCGCCTGCCTTGTTAGCGCGCTGCCGCGCCATCTGCCTGCCTGCCTGCCTCCTTGCCTGCCTGCCTGCCGTGCGTGCCCTGCCCGCTACTGCTGCTACTTCTGTTACCGCTGCTAGGCTGCTGCTGCTGCTACTGCTGCTACTACTGCTACTGCTGCTACTGGCGGTGGCCAGATGCAGCTCCAGCGACGTCCGCGCGAGTCTCTCACGCCCCAGCAGCTTCGTGAGTGGTACGCTAGTTGGGGTTGTGGCGGTAGCCGTCGTGGCTGTCGCCCTGGAGCTGGTCAGTTGGGAGCGTCTAGCAGTGGCCAGCTGCAGCTGCAGCGGCGTCCGCGCGAGACACTTATGCCCCAGCAGCTTCATGAGTGGTACGCTCAGAGTAGAGGGTCTCGGAGTACCGTTCGCTGCCCGTACGTCATTCGCACAGGTGCTCGGGCTGGTCAGGCTTGCGGGACGCTTGGTCACACACAGTCCCGCTGCTTCGCCCGTCTGAGCGACGCCTGGCGTACCGAGTTTGGCGACGAGGCTGAGCTCCCCACCTGGCTGGAGCTGCTTAGGCAGAGGGTAGATATCTTTGCTCTTGACTATGATGCTATTCTCACTGCCATGTATGCGTTGCCTACTAGTGCTGACGGTGCCTGTTACCTGTGCGTACCGCCTGACCCAGGTATAGAGCCTGCTGCTCTAGGTGCTCGTGCGTCTCCTGCTCTAGGTGCTGGTGAGTCTACTGCTCCAGGTGCTGGTGAGTCTGCTCTTTCTGGTACTGCGCCTGCTGAGGCCTTGTACACCTTCACGCTTGACTCAGGT